GACCAAAATAAAGCAAAAATGTACATGCTGTTTAACAGCAAGTGTTGTTTCATCTATAGTTTTAAAGCAGCTGCACATTATATTACCTTGCCAAAGACAAGAGTACTACATTTTCTTCTAAACCTGTCACATATTGAATCTGTACATGGGAGCTCTCATGCTTCGGGGGAAAAAAACCTGCTCACTTGTTTATCTCAGGATATGCTTTGTATGTGACAGACAGCTGGAGTAGATGCTGTTAGGTCCCAGAATAAGATTGTTTCCTTGTGTATTTTATCTGTAACATTTTATATTGTGGCACAACATTGCATTGGATCATGTTGTCATGGCAAATACACGTGTATTTCTGTACCTGACTGATTTACTGAAATACATCATATAGTGTATAATTTTAGTTATGGTTAGAAGGGTGTCAGTGAGAGGCTTATACCTGCTTCCATTTGAATGGTTTGCTCACATCTTACTGAACAAGCCAAAATATTTATTATTCCTTGTGTAATGTAAATTTGGGATAATGAGGAGGATTATTTAGAATTTTCATTTGCTCTACCCTGATTTTTTGTGGTCCTCTTCAACTCCCTTATATTTAAGAATGTACTTTGTGTCTTAAATCTCAGGTGGCTACAGTAGGTCTGATTCATGAGGCAATATGCTTAGCATCCAAAACAGGGAGAGTGCTGACTCCACAGTTCTTACAGATTATTGTACTTGTTTTTCCATGTAGCATAGAGTGTAAATTCTGGTGGAAGCCACCTACATACTCTGCAGATGAGGTGAAGTGCTAAATGGGCTTCAAAAAGCAGATTAAATTAGACAAAATTATACAAATAATTTTAATATTTTTGCTAATCACTTTTACTCCCCTTTTCCCCCATGTTCTTCTCTTGTATTTCACTTGCTGAAAACCTCCCCTGTCCTCATTGATTTAAAAACTCTGTTGATTATTATCTGTGAGAGAGGATTGCTGTGAATATAATGCACTCTAAATAACAAAAGGACTGAATACTTACAGCAGCAATTTCCCTAGATTCTGCTGATACCTGTAAAGGACCTGAACGTATGAGGTCTGGAGCAAGTCCTGAGTGTGCCCACAGCTCCCATAAATGTCAGTACTTTCTATGAGGAGCTCAGCACCTCACAGGATTGGACTCAAAGCTGCATAGTCAAGATATGTAGCTGTTAGTCACTCAGCTGAGATACTGTGTAACTTTCTGTTTGGACAGAAACAATATATTCTGTTACAAAAAAGGAAGAGTAATCAAAGATTTAAAATGCATTATTTTTGAAATTTGCTGTTTTTCACATCTAGTCCTCAAAAGATACTCATTGTTTGCTATGTATCTTTAAGCTTGGAGCAGTGAAAAACTCATTGTGACAGATAGAGAACTTCATGACACTGATGTTGCGCCTGACAAATAACTTTGTCACTATCATTTGTTCTCTGAAATATTGGCTCTGACACTTTTCAGGCATAATACAAGAAAACTGTCACCTGAGAGGCTGAAGGTAATAACATTAAAAAAAAAAAAGAAAGGAATAGAAAGCTTTACAACTTTTACTTGCATGCTCCTCAAAAGCATTCAACATTGGCAGGGTCACGTTATCAAACACTAACCAATCTCTTACAAACATGCTAATAAGATCTTAGGTATATCATAGAATCATAGGGTTAGAACGGACTGCAAGAGTCATCTACTCTAACCCACTGCCAAGATGCAGGATTTGTTGTGTCTTAACCATTCAAGTCAGATGGCTATCCATCCTCTTTTTGAAAACTTCCAGTGAAGGAGCTTGCATTACTTCCTTAGGCAGTTTATTCTGCTGTTCTTACAGTTAGAAAGTTTTCCTGAGATATAATCTAAATCTGCTATGCTATAATTTGAACCCATTCCTCTTGTCCTGCCCTTTGTTGAAAGAGAGAAGAATTTTTCTCTGTCTTTTTTATGGCAGTCTTTCAAGAATTTGAAGACTGTTAACATGTTCACACACCTCCCCCGATCCCCCCCCCCCCCACTTAATCTCCTCTTTTCCAAACTAAACATACCCAGTTCCTTCAGCCTTTGCTCATATGGCTTGCATTCCATCCCTTTCATCATCTTTGTCACTCACCTCTGAATCCTTTCCATTTTCTCTACATCCTTTCTATACAGTGGTGACCAAAATTGGACCCAGTACTCCAGCTGAGGCCTAACCAGTGCCAAATACAAAGGTCCTATCACCTCTTGTGACTTTCTATGTCTCTGTTAATGCAACCCAAAATTGCATTTCCTTTCTCTGCGACAGCACATTGCATTGTTGACTCATGTTGAGGCTGTGATCCACCACAACTCCCAGATCCTTCTCAGCAGTGCTGCTGTCACACCAATTATCCCCCATTCTGTATTTGTGCATTTGGTATGTCTTCCCTAAGTGTAGCTCCTCACATTTGTCTTTGTTGAATTTCATTTTGTTGTCTATAGCCAGTTCTCCAATTTATCAAGATCGCTTTACATTTTGGCTCTGTCCTCCAAAGTGTTTGCAACCCCTGGCCCCCCCCCCCCGAGCTTTGCGTCATGTGCAAATTTGATCAGTATGCTCTCTATTCCTATATCCAGGTCATTAATAAAGATGTTAAATAATACCAGACCCAGAACAGATCCCTGTGGGAACCCTACTTGAAACCTCCTTCCAATCTGACATAATTCCTTTAATAGTTACTCGTTGTTTGTGTTAACCAATTATGTATTCAGTTAATGGTATTTCTACTGAGCCTGCATTTCTCCAGCTTGCTTATGAGAATGTAATGTGGGATTGTGTCAAAAGCCTTGCTAAAGTCCAGGTATATTACATCCACTACATTCTCCCTGTCCACCAAACCAGTTGCCTTGTCAAAAAAGTAAATCAAATTGGTTTGGCACGATTTGTTTTTAAGTAAATCCATGCTGGCTGCTAGTGATCATCCCTTCATCCTCCTGGTATATCTAAAGTTCTGCCATTGCTGCTTTCAATTTAAATTCTCAATCAAGAAAGCAAATAAAGCAACTTATTTGTTGAAAAAAATAAAATGATTATAATGTTGCTATTTTGTTACTAAGGATCTTCTTCTTGATCACCTCATGTATTAAATGATCTAATGTTAATGTTAATTGCAATCACAACTAAAATTGATAATGAATATGAATACTGTCTCAGCGATTACTACAGTAATCTTATGAGGACAAGCGTGTTAATGAACACACTGTATTACATACTGCTCCATGGTTGTATGTGTTTGAAATTTCAGATTATGTGAATTCATGCTATAATGTGCATTTTTCTTCCATATAGATATTACATTTAATTTAAAAATCAATATGATATACTGATTTTTTTTTTAGCGTTCCATGCAGTGTACAGTATTATAATAGACTGGGTCTCTATAGCAACTTCCATACAGGGATCTCACAGCACTTTACAAATATTAAGAGATTAAGTGTCACAACACTCCTCTAAATTAGGTAATCATTATTTACCCTGTAGCGGGGCAGTCACCCCACTCCAGCCCTGAAGGGATTAAAAACAGCCCTAGGAAAGGGCAGCCCCAGGGAGCTAATCAGGGCCAGAAGGCAGAGGAGTTTCTCTCCAGCCCTGGAGGGAGAGGGCTTAGCTGCTGGGGAACATACGGTTCCTGAAGTAGGCAGTGCTGGGGAAAAGGGCAAGAGGAGCTGGGAAGCTCCAACCTGGCAACTCCCCAGGCTGAGGCCTTGGTCAACACCTAAACAGATACTGGGGCTGCAGAGGTGCAACCCCGGGGACAGGTAGAGGCAGCCGATCCAACCCCATTGCCAGTGATGAGTGTCCATTACCGACTGTAGTCTGCCCCAGGGAAAGGGGGCTGGATGACGACTGGCAGTAGCCACTGAGGCAAGGTGGGTTTGGAGGGTCGGGGGTTCCCCTGGGAGGGAAGACCCAGAGCGTGGAGGTACTGCTGGGGTAGAACCCTGAGGTAAAGGGCACCGGGGTCCGGCAGGGACGCGGGGCCAGCGGCAGGCAAGACACCAGCCTGCAGAGGGTGCTCCGTGTGCTGGAAAAAGCTAATTCCCAGACGACAGGCAGGAGGTGCCAGGCCGGTGAGTCTTCACTTCGCTACATACCCCAGTTCACAGATGTGAAAACTGAGGCCTAGAGAGGTTAAGTGATTTTTTTCAGAGTCACACCAGGAAGTTTATTGCTGCGATTGGAATACAATCATATTTCTAAGATTTCTATATATTCGCCTACCCAGCGCCCCCAAATCTGTCTTACATTTCATTTACTGTGCATGATATCCATTCTTCCTTCCTTAATATCATAGAATATTGAATATGAGTGCTGCTTGCAGTAACTAGATGTTTTTCGTTAAATGGTCTAATTTTTATAAGTATTCAAGTTGCTGTTAAGAACTTACTTTCTGAATCTGTGAGGGGGAAGAATTTGGGGAGGCACAGTTTCCATTTGGGAAGAAAAAAGTAAAATAAAATTAGCCAGTCAAACCAACTCTGGAAGAAAGAAGACATAATCTAGACCTGTCTTAGATGACGTTTCATGTCTTGAGGCTGTAAGTATGCAGTCATAATGACATTTTGATAGAGTGTCACATTTTGTAACACTGGGAAATGTATGGAATTTTAAATAATTTAAAATCGGCTTTTTCCCCCTCTTCCATCCTATTTGCATGATGTAACTCAAATACTTAATGTGTAATATGGATGTGTGTGAATTTGTTTGGTTTAGGGAAGTATAGCAAGCTCTGGTGTGGTTTTCTCTTGAACAGTTCTTTAATAGTTTTACTCAGCCTTAAGAACAGAGTTCACTTCTCTTTCTGAAGGTTAGTGACTTACATTAAGACATAAATTGCAATTAAGAAATTGAGCCCAAAATCAAGAAATGCATTCTTACGCTCAGGATATTCAAAGCTTATTCACTGTAGCATTTTTTAAGGTAATCTTGTAGCACTGTTGGTGGCTTTTCATTAATTCTGAAGTACATTTTCCCCCCAAAAGGTCAACATAAGATCAAATTCATCCCAGAAATGGTTGGACCTATGTTGGAAATGACACTGATTCCTGAAACTGAGCTTCGAAAAGCTACAATCCCAATATTCTTTGACATGATGCAGTGCGAGTTTCATTCTACCAGAAGCTTCCAAATGGTAAGCATTGTTTAGCTACAAATATTTTAAGTTTGTGAGTGTTATGCAAGGACATTTTGATGCCCACTGGTAAAAGGCACAGAGATACACATAGGGTTACAGTGATCCTCAGGGTTCACCAAAAGGGGTCATGTAAGCTCTCTAAGAAAGCATGCGTTCTGGTCATCATGGCCATTACGAAATATATGTGGAGATAATGTGTAAGGAGTGATGTGTGTATACTGAAAACTATGTTCTTAAGTCCTTCTTGATAAACATAGATTGCTGAGAGGTAGCATACATTGAGACAGACTTCTCCAGACAGGAGGTGGGAGACGCTTATCGCTGTGGTTGATGATTGTGTATTGTGTATCTTACAATGGAAGTCTATTGTTATACTGAGTTAAAGCTAATGTATACATTGCAGGAAAAAACAAAAACAATAGGGATTATCCTGTCTGAATAAAGACAATGAATTTTAGAAGAATAATTAAGGGTATGGAGGTACACCTGGCATCCTTCAATCTAAGAAGACAAGCTACTAGTGGACTTGATTTTAAGAAAGGAGGATCTCTGCTATCTTGGTTGAAAACTCTAGGAAAAGAACTTTGAGGTGTGCTAACCTGTAGGAGATGGGATAATGTCGTGTGAGTTAAGTTTAGGCTCTAAAAAGTTTCTTATAATTTTGTTTTGCATGTAACCATTTGTTTCCAGTGTTGGTTCTTGCTATCATTTGAATCTCTCTTTGATAATAAACATATTCCTGTTTTCACAATAAATATATCTTGAATACTGCATGTTAAGCAGTGTGATGCTCTTGAGCTGAATCTAGTCATCAGGTGAATACTAATCCTTTCGGAGCAGAGAATATGAGAGTTCTGTGAGTGTTCAGTGGATAAGAGGCTAGGTGCTTCAGAGGGACACTTGGGATCAGGAAGGAATTTCCCCCCAGGTCAGATTGGCAGAGACCCTGGGGGGTTTTCGCCTTCCTCTGCAGCATGCGGCACAAGTCACACAGGTTTAACCTAGTGTAAATGGGGGATTTTCTGTAACTTTAAGTCTTTAAATCAGGATTTGAGGACTTCAGTAACTCAAGCAGAGGTTAGGGGGTCTATTAAAGGAGTGGGTGAGTGAGTGTGCAGGTCAGAAAGATGATTATGATGGTTCCTCTGACCTTAGAGCAGGAGTGGATAAACCTTTTGGCCCGAGGGCCACATCGGGGTGCAAAACTGTATGGAGGGCCGGGTAGGGAAGGCTGTGCCCCCCAAACAGCCTGGTCCCCTCCCCCTCCCACTTCCCGCCCCCTGACTGCCCCCCTCAGAACCCTCAACCCATCCACCCCCTCCCTGCTCCTTGTCCCCTGACTGCCCACCCCGTATCCCCTCCCCAACAGGCCCCCCGGGACTCTCACACCCTACCCAACCTCCCCTGTTCCTCGACCCCTGACCGCCCCGCCCCCCCCAGAACCTCGGCCCCATCCAACCGCTCCCTGTCCCCTGACTTCCCTCCGGGGCCCCCTACCCAACCTCCACCGCCGTGCATGCCACCGCCCCCTTACCATGCCGTTCAGAGCGGCAGGAGCTTGCAGCCCCACTGCCCATGCAGCGGCGTAGCTGCGCGGGAGGGGCAACAGTGGGGGAGGGGCTGGGGGCTAGCCTCAAGGGCCAAACAGGATCGTCCCACGGGCCATAGTTTGCCCACCTCTGCCTTAGAGTCTATGAGGACTCAGGAGTTGGTGTGTGTCTATCACTCATCCATACAGAGATAGCAAGGCCTGAAAGATGCCCCTCCATAAAGCACTGTTCCCTTCACTTGGCCAGCCAGCCAAATATGCTCCCTACCCACTGCTTAAAGGTGCAGGGTAGTTATTGGATGGGGACTAATCTAATTCTGTGCTGGACTTATTTTTCATAAGTTAATATTCATAACAAGCTTCTAAGATATCTATAACCAAAATAAATGAATGTCTACAAGGAATCAGTTAAACATATAAAACATGACTAGCTGTATTAATTTTCAGTTGCATTGCAATGAACGAGGAACTTTTGATCAGTATTTTGATTCAATTCAATTTCAATAATCAGTTTTTATATTTATCTCTGATGTTATTGCAGTAATAAGTAACGTACTGTGTAGTATGTTAACATTGTGTGTAACTATGCCATAATGAAAAGTAACAAAACAAAAATCTGAAGTGCTCAATGAGATACCATTTACACATTCTCATGTCAGAGGCTTACTTTTGTTACTTGTTGTTTGTTTTATTTGTGTAACTGTATGGATCATGAACTATATAAGGATGCGTTATTGTTTAATTTATGGCTCTATATTTCTTTGCATAGAATAATCTGGTGATTTTAATAGATGAACAACTTAAATATTTAATGTAAACTTTCTTCCCTTTTCGAGAAGAAATATGCCTCATGCTTAAACCACAGATGTTTTGGATTTTAGATAGAAATATTCCATATATTTATATCCTCGTGTCACAACAGCTTGCTTCATTATGAATACAATATTAGCATAATATATATAGGCTCCTTGTACAATACATTCAGAATGCATATTTATATCTAACAGAAAATATCCAATCTGTCCGTTCATAGTTTCATGTATAAGTGCAAGAGATCTATACTTTGCAAGGCACATCACTGTGTTCACATCTGTGTGCTGGTGTTAAACTCCAGCATTTATGCAAGACCTTAGACTATATTTGGCATAGAATGTGACATAGCCACATTGTTTAATCAGTGCGTATGTGTTTTAAAATACCCCTGTCTAACTTCAACTTTCGATACATGTGTGCCACTTTATACCTCACCAAAAAGATTTTTAATTTCAACATCCAACTCAGTGGGTTGGTCCTCTAATTAGATTGTACCCCAAAGGGGCTGAAAGGCAATTGTATATGGCCAGTAGAGAATTACCTCGAGGTAGAGGAAGTTTTCACTGGTATAGCTAAACAGCAGCCAGACCCTTTGCCTCTTTTCCCCTTCACGAAGCTGTCTGGGTGTTGCAGAGCCCTGCGCTACCTTGGCAATATTCCACTAGCGCAGAGTGGATTCAGGGCCTTAAGCCAGTGTTGGGGCTGACTCTAGCCTGGAGAAGAAGGTAGCCAGCTCCTGCTCCCTGATGCTTTCTTATGCTGAGCAGACAGAGGTTTTCCTGTCTTGTCATGCAGGCCATTGCTGGTTTGCTGTTTACAGGTTATGGTGAGTGGCCTGCTCCCAATAACAAAAATAGATTTATGCATTGTGAGAAAGGTATTCATACTTTCTTCAAGAAATATTACCAGTACCTAGGTAGGCTTTCATACTTTGTGTGTGTGTGTGTCCTGCGTTATATTATGTACATGCAACTGCCAGTTATTGTTCTGGTTTGCTTGCAAAGAGAACTTAGAATTGAATAGTTCGCTGCTGTTTAACTAATCTGCCAGAAATACAATTATCTAACCTTATTAGTCACATCAGCAAGGGTTTAAATTGGCTCCACTTCCCCAGCAGATGTGTAAACCTATAATGTGTGGGAAGAATATAGATTTTTCACAGAATTGTAATACTAGAACATGTGGCCTATATTATTAACAGTCAACTCTCACCAAAACTACTTTTATTTCAGTATTTATTGTTCTTTTCTGGTGAAAACAGTCTTAGACAGCATGACTGTATTTACCCTTACTGTACTTGCAGCCTTGAGAAAGAACAGAAGATCAGTAAAATTGTGTACTGTCTTTAAGTTATACATTCCCAAATCATGATATGTGGAGATCTGGGCAGACAAGTAATGCTGCCCACTTCCCCTCTCTCACCTTTTGTATGCAGCTCCAGCTAGGACACACCACAAAACAAGGAGCATGGGCTTGCCACTAAGGTCCACTGAGGCTTCCCCATAGAAGAAGCTGTCTCCTTTTCTCTTCTGCTTCCCTCCTTGCCTCCCTTCCATCAGTGCACTCCACAATTCAAAGACTGGAGGGAATGTCAGAGTCAGAGAAAGATAGTGAGGAGAATCACTTTGACTATTACAGTCCCAATCCTAGTCAGGTAGTGGTGATAGGTCACGTGTAGCAGCAGGATGGAAGGTGGTCCATGAGATGACCATATTACAAAAGGTGGCCCATACCATAACAAGTTTAGGCACCACTGATCTACAACCTTGACTGTACCACCTGATTTCTCTCTGTCTCTCATTCTTTGGACCCACTTCCCATTCATTTTCTTGTCCGACTTTGCACACTCAAAGCTTTAGCTCTCGTTCCCTGGACCCATCCCATTGCTTTCCACTCTCACTTCACTTCTGCTCGTCTCCTTGTTCTGCCTTCTCTAACTCCAGCCTTATCTCTGAAGTTGAGAGTGAGAGTCATATTGGGAATGGGGGATGAGAGGTGGGAGAAGGAACACTGAAGAGTGCATTCCGAAGATCAGTGAGGGTTTCCATCAGCAGAGGGGTGAGGTAGGCTGGCACCATGTGCAAGACAGGACTCACATCCAGACCTGCTGCTAGAAATCCTCTCTTAAATTGCATGTAAACACCCCAAAGTGACCTACAAACAATTGAGAAAAAAGCCAATTAGAATTGTTTCATTGGGGAGCTAGCTAGTTCCTAGGGGTTAAAATAGTGTAATTAATGTTAGATGAACCAGTCTGGATTAAAATAAAAACAGACTTGTAACTTCATTCAAAACATGAACCAAACAAAAGAGAACTTTTTTGAGGTGCTAGTTCAATTTTTTTTATATGTCTTTGCACCTTTCTGTGCTACCTGGTGTGGGACAGAACAGAAGCAAACATAATATATTGATGTGCGTGGACTTTCCATCTAGGTTTACACCAAGGAGAATTCTGTAGAAAAAGCTTAATCATGTGAGATTTCCAAACCAGACCTCAGCAAGTAGAATCCTTGGGTACTTAGCTGAACCAGTATTCTGAACCTTTTGTGGTTCACCCATTGCTAATGATGATTAATTTTCCAATTCCTGTTAAAAGTTAAAAACTCATGTTAAAAGTTTGACATGAAAATAATAG